ACGTCCGTGCGAACGGCTGACAGCGCGGTGAGCGTTAAAACAATTACACTAGGCTCCAAAAATATTTGTCCATCTACATTTTGACGAAATTACCAAAAAAAAACATTTTATAAAGACAACAGATCAACTTAATCTGACTTTTTTAAATGTTTATTATTGGATGGTCCAAGTAATTTTGGAAAGTAGTGTAGCGTACCGCGCGATTTCCACTACGCCCGTGCGAACACTTGTATGAAGTTCCATACGTTCCATTTTATTTTTACGCTAACGCCTAGTGTCCAAAATGGAACAGTGCGCGTAGAGAAATACGCCGAGAAGAAAAACGCCCCCGTATGAACAGCTTCATACAATCCCATACGTTCTATTTTGACACATAGTTACCGCCTAGCGTTTTCGCGTCCGTGCGAACGCTCGCTAACTGTTTTACATTAATAAGTATCTATATGTTTCTTAAATTTCAGTGATAACATTTGAGACAGTACTATTATCGATACCATTTGAAAACAACATAGAGGTATTCGAACTACGCGGTGACCATATTTTAGAGATGCTGGAATACTCAGTCGCTAACATACCTTTCCCGGGCGCGAGAATGTTGCAAATATCTGGTAAGGACTTAGTTCTGTTGAAAATCAACCATGTTAAGTTTTTCATTTACCATTTGAGTAAATAAATATTTTCCATACTTGCGTAACCACTAATAAGTTTTTGGTTAAATGACTAAAATACGAATCGAAATATCATACATTACTGAAGGTAGTTGTCATAACAACATTTTTTCGGGAACAATAATAACTTTAAAAGTGCATCTTCAATGCTGTGATATTTTTCTTTTGTTTTTTATAACTGAAGGGGGAAACGATCGACGGAAAGGCCAAGGTGATCACGCCACAATAACAGAGGAAGTAAAAATGCGTTGAGATTTTACTTTTTTTATTTGTGTTTTTCAAACAGGTATACATCCAATTTTCAATGGATCGCTTCCTGTAAATCAAAGAGTTAAAAGTGTATCTATTCGCTGTATCGATTGTCCCGTGCCCCGATACCAACCGCTAGAACTCAACAAATACTACAGAATGATCGCTCCAAGCTTTATTGCCAACGGCGGGGATGGATTCCATGTAAGTAATTATAACGTACGAACCATTTCTCGAGGTCAGAGTGTGAGATTTTTTTTTAATACTTAATGCACAAACATTAAAAAGTTATAATAAAATAAACTAAACATATAAACTACATGATTTGTAAGGGCAACCTTATTACTCATAAGCGATCTTATAGGCAACCCAGTGGGACGGAAGAATCTAGGTATAAACATAAGGATATTTTAGTTTTATTTATTTTTGCGATACAATGAAAAAGTAGAGAAATCGGCATTAAAAAAAAATAATACGAACATTTAAATCAAACAATTGACAACTGTACAATGCGATTAATCAAATGTTTTTTTATTTCAGATGATCGCGGAAAATAGAAGAAACGTCGAAGTAGTCGGTGTGGATTACGACTTATTGATTCGCTACATAGCAAAGCTGAGCCCTATTTTCATCGATGTCGACGAGAGAATACAAATACAAGACCCTTGTTTGAGTTAAAATACAATTCTGCATGACAATTTGTTCCCATTGTATTAACAAGCTGTTTCCCGCGATTTCGTCCGCGCACTATTAAACATAGTACAAAAAACTATGTATATCTCGGGATCCAGATATTTTTCTGGATGAACCGTATCCCATGTGTTACTCCAGACTTTGTTTTATATCTGTGCCAAATTTGAATAAGACATGGTGAACCGTTGCAGAATTATCGAGTAAACATGAAAAAAACGATATTAATGTATGTGGCGCTAGTGTGCTGTTGCAATTCAGTTAGACTGTCCACCGGATCCTTGTTAAATGACTATTTGTTTTTACTTAATTAAATGATTCTTCTTTTGCATAGAATTTATAATTTATCTGTACAGAAAGGTTATATAATTTAAAGTTTTTACGTCTGATTCCCTTAATAGTACAAAGTAGTACTTTGTCCCACAATTAATTTTGTTTTATGATAGGTGCTTAAAAATGACTAGGTCGTATTGTTAGCTTTATTGTCCATTAAATGAAGGACCCTTTCTAAAATGCTCACAACTTATAATATCCTGTTATTATAAGGCTCATAATTTTCAAGGTTTAAAGTGTTTGTACGAGTGATAATAAATTCATATTTCTAGACTAAAGTAAAATTTTACTACGTTCAACTTTACAATGCTGTTGATGTGTAGAGATAGTAGATCTGTAATAGAAGTACAGTCGGATAAATTGGCGGTGTTCCACCTTAAAAGCTATCGTTTGAACATTTTGCAACGAAACGCGAAACAAAAATCAAATACAACACAGTTCATAAATAGATACGTATAAAAAAGTCGGTTAGTGATACACGGCTAGTTTTTATTACTATCCTTTCGTTTGAAATCACTGCTATCTAATTAGTTATTATATATGTATAGTCAATAAACAAGGCAATTATTCTTGAAGTGGGACAACAAGCATTTCCGCGACTGTACATTGAATACGTCTGTCGGCCATAGTTGTCCACAAAAATAAACCACACAATAAAAACGTGCTTCTGAGATATCAAAAGATTTGCAAAAATATTTCTGAGGGTTCTATTAATTTCACAGTGTTATACTAAAAAATTTACGAACTTTACATGTTATAATTAAAATTAAAACTCAGTATTATTTATGATGAGAAAGAACTTTCATTGTTAATAAGTTCACAAAAAACAAAATGAAGAAGTATTGTAAATACAGTCGCTATTTTCATTGTAATTTTTCTAGCAAAACGTCAATAAAAGAGAACGGCTTATCTCTTTGTTAGCCTTTTTATACTATCTCATTATTACTATAAATTTTTGTAAATCTTTTATGTTAGAATTCGAAAAAAATATTACCCTAAAACTGCGAAAGTTTGAATGGATGGATGTTTGTTAGATTTTGTAGACTAAACTGCTGAACGAATCTGAATGAAATTTGGCATGGATGTAGATGATTGCCTGGAAGGATACATTGGCAACTTCCTTTTGATTGTTTTTTATTCCACGCGGACGGAGTCGCGAACGAAAGCTAGTGTCAATGTCAATATAAAAATATAATCTGTCTTTACAGATTGGAGTTTAATTTCAAGCTTTTTGTTCTTTGAAACTAAAGATCAATACAATTAATCTATTGCAGAACGATTCAGTGGTATTTAAATCTATTAATTTACCTAGTACTATGGGATAACCGTAAAATTCATGCAAATCCTATATTTGAACGTTTGTTACTCGAAATAGGATTAAACATTCCAAACTGGATAACGACTTTAGTGGAATTTATCTTTGTACCAATATTTTATGTAGTTAAATTTTGTTGGGTAGTTTCATATACGTAGAGTTCTCTATCTATTTATGTTATACTTTTTTTTACAAAACATAAGGTGGCAACCAAGCAAGCGGCCACCTGAATCCACTCAAATGGCGAAGCGACCGCTGCCCATAGACATCCGCAATTGCAGATGCGTTGCATACCCGTATCCGACAGAGGAGGAGACGCACATAAATACGATATTTCCCCTTCCTATGATTCTCCTCCACCGTCAAATCCACTTTCCCTTCCGTTCCTCTCCTTATAAGAAAATGGTGGTAAAGAGAAAGGGACTTAAATTAGGCATCCTACTATTAAATACATACTTTTTAGTATACATTGCACGCAAACATACCTGGGGTGGGTGTAATTTTCCCTAGTCGTTCATAACTGATTCCTTTACCTCATAAATGTGTTAAATACGGACATCCATCCCTGAAAGAAAACGTGACGGACGGCACTAAACGTCTTATCTGAGATATTTGGTCATTGCGGTTTCGTTTACTATCAAGGCAAGTTATTTTATCTCAACCTGGTATTAAGTAAATTCCTGGAATTAAAAAAACGTAAAATATTTTAACTTAGTTCTTCTTGTGAGGTTATAAGAAACAAATAAGCGAATTTTCAAATTAAAAGTGTTGTTACAGTGGACCGTGTCTTAATATCTATATGTACTAATATAATAAAGATGAAAAATTCGGATTTTTGTATGTATTGAAATAATTCCGATTTCAAAAATTATTTCAGAAATAAATAGCTATGTTACCAGTGAATAACATAGGCATATTAAAAATATATTTCCGCGCGCATAAACGCGTGTAACAACTAGTGCTAAATATATTATTCTGCTTAGGTAGCAATTATCTTGATGTTCTCAGATTATTGGTAGCAGTTTTATAATTGTTTTTCTAGAATAAAGTAGATTATTATTTTTAAAACAGTCATGGTAACGAGATAGAATACGAAGTAATTAATGAGAGCCCGGTCTAGGAACGAGATCTTAGATGACGTTGCGTTTGACAGCGTCTTGTTAAATACTTTAGTAGTTTATCCGCAGTTTTTATAAACCAAAGGCTTTGATGTTTTTCTATGTGTTTGTTTTTCAAGAAAAAATTCTTGTTAATTTTTTTTTATTTAAAATATCATAAATATTTGTTATGTTTTTCTCTTTTTTTTTCTTCATCTTTCGAACTGCAGGAAACTTGTATTCTGAAATAAACAGTTTACATTTTTCAAAATAGAATGTAAACAAAATAATATTTTTCAATTCAATAATGAACTGCTTTAGTAACATCAAAACTCTGTTGGAAGGTTGCCAGGATAGTCCAGCTCGGGCAATCACGTTTTCAAATATCAAACATTCCATATTCGAGGATAATTTCATTTTTAAGAAAATGTTTCTAAAATTTTCTGCTATACCATTCAATATTAGACCATTTTGTTGAGAAATCATTACTGAGAGGTCAGTGTTATCTGTTTTCTATGAATTGAATTTTATATTTGATACTTGTTTTTGGCAGCGACTTCATCCGCAAGTTAAAAAAAAACTGTATGTTCTTGCGAAACATGTTCCACATCTGTGAAAAATTTCATCAAGATCCGGTGTTTAGCAGATAGGCAGTAACAAACATCCATCCATCCATACAAAGTTTCACAATTTTAATATGAAATAACTAGCTGTTGCTCGCGTCTTTGTCGGCGTGAAATTAAAAAAATAATAAAAGATATAGCCTATGTTACTCACTGATGACATACCTTTTCGATGGTGAACGAATTTTTGAAATCGGCCCTGTAGTTTTTGAGTTATTTCAGTACATAACAAAATACAAATATTAGTATAGAAAGTAAGTAAGTAAGATAATATTTTGTAATAATTCCGTAATAGTTTTTTGTATGTCGTCATTTTCTTATTACAATATATTAAAGAAGCGATAACTTAGTTTAACAGTTTAGTAAATTGAATCAAGTATTTCGTAATAGTCATTACATTGCGCACAGAATTATTCAAAAACTTTTACTAACTACAAGGTAAGTTGTAAAGTTCGTAAAACTAGATTTTCTTGAACATCCTTTAATTCCTTATCACACCAGAAAGTGCAACGAAGAAATTTAGTTTTCCCCTATCGTTCATTATGCTTTGAACACTATTCTTTCATTTGTCAGCAAAACAAAATTCTTCATTGCAATTTTAGGCCAAATTTAAAAAATGTGGATATTTTTTTCTTTACAACTAAGACTAGTATTCGCCAGTGACTCGGACCGAATTAAAAAAAAGTGTGTTCTTCCAGACCATCCTATCTATTCATCTATTTTTTTTTACATAAGGTGGGTTTTTTTTTACATAAATTAATGAGCAAGCGGTCACCTGAATCCACCGAATGGAAAGCGACCGCTGACCATAGACATCCGCAATTGCAGATGCGTTGCCTACCCTTGGTTGACAGAAGAGGAGACGCACATAAAGAGGACATTTCCCCTTCCTATGCGTCTCCTTCACCGTCAAATCCACTTTTCCTTCCTATCCTTTCCTATTAAGAACAAGGTGGAAAGGGAAAGGGACTAAAATTAGGCCAATTCTATGTCAAATTTAAAAAAAAATCTATCGAAACTCGCATTTATAATATCAGTAAGGTTAGTTATATAAATATAAAAAATAAAATAAAAACTCCGTGTAGTTTTACATTGATTTAAGTAGTTTTTATTATGTAGTGTACGTACCTAGGGTTGTGGCTGCGGAGGGCGGACGTAAGCACATTACTGTCATGTCCGGTGGAAACGTGACCTGTTTTCTAATTTACCTTAAATCCGAGTTGTATTATAATACGATGGAGCAATAAGAAAGTCCAACAATTCTTGTATAGTTTTATTTTAGTCCACTCAGAGACTATAAATTGAATCATATTTTTCTTCTTAAAGTGCTCTGCATTTGTTGAAAGTGGCCAGTATTTTTTTGTGTTTTTTAAAATATTAGTACGTTATTGGCTATTTACTAAAATTTATTTTAACCATTCCAATTAAACTCTAGGCTTGTGTTACCATAGTTTACAGTAGTCGAAAGGTGGAACCTTGGTGGAACAGTTAGGTAAACGGTACAAACTTGGCGGAGGCTTAGCTTGCATTATTGTATGTCGCACCTACGCCGTATGCAAAAGTGGATAGCGACACATAAATAATGTGATACCTCGACCGGAATCAATTTTAAACACAAGGCCTCTGCAACGACGATAAATATTGAGGAAATTACATGCCAAGTTTGGAAGAGAGCCAATGCAATCTGCTATATTTCTAATGCTCAAGTTGTTGGATAATAGACATTGCGGTATTCCTAGTTATCCTGGTAATAATGTATTTTTTACTTCAGACAATTATTGAGTCTATAAGAGTCATTTCTCAACAAACATTAAGAGAGGTCGTCATCGTCTTCCACATGCGATACTCGACCTCCCGCATCCAAGTATCTTTTTAATACTAGCAGTTGCTTGCGACTAATTCCGCATGGAATTAAAAAAATTAAGAAGCCTATAGTATTCAGTGGTTACGTAGCTTTTTAAAGGTGCA